GCATCTCCATCGCCACGAAAATTCGTGTATACCGCGCGTCTGTCCAGTCAGTTCTAAACGGATGTGAATGCTGGCCTTTGCGCGTTCAATATGAGCGAAGGCTGGAGGTATTTGACTACCGCTGCCTGGGGACCATCCTTCGAGTAAAGTATACCGACTTCTCAAATGAGATAGTCGACACTCGCTGCGACAGTATTGCGAGGATATTTCAGAGATTCCAAGAGACACGACTGAGGCGGTTTGGGCACTTTCTCGGTTTTTCGCCTCAAGAGCTTTGTTATATTGCCCTCGATCGACGCCGCAGCTCATTTGGAGGCGTCAAAGAGAGAAAATCAATACAAGTCTTGACACCGATCGTCAAGACTTGGAAGCGGTTCTTGAACCGTCTGTCTCCGGTCTCCGTGGCTGGTAAACAAAATGGGTGTAGCTTTCCACATCCGCTGCCGCTAATCGCCACGTGTAGAGAGATACTGTTCCTGACATCGTTGAGGCCAGTTAGACCAGGCATGATTACAACCGTATCAAGTACAAGTCAATTTATACCAACTGTGTCGCTATGAACGCGCTGGGTGTCAGACCGCTAAGTTGGCGTGAGTTTGTACCTGGAAAGAGGGATCCGTTAGAATCTTCACCAAACGGAAATCTCTGGGGCGGTTTTAGAACCATTACAACCCGCCAAAGTGGGCATGGCCCATCGACCCCGTGCGGCAGTTCATCACCGTTCGATGCAACTAACTCTGGATGAAGAATTTTACCAGGCATAAACAGCTAACTGGAAAAGAATATATCTCAAAATATTTGTACCGTCTTTCGGTCAGTCTACTCGTAACCTCAAGCATGAACGAGTTGCAGACCATTGACTGACGATCAGAAGCTAGCTGTGAACTAAGCAGCCCCGCAGCTTCTAAAGCTAGGTATCTACTGACTATGCGCAGTATTCCTACCAGGACATAGAGAGCTGAGAGTCAAATGAAAAAATGTTATCGAAGATGACATTGACGTGACCGCCGCAAATCGTCATGAAACAGAAGTCTCCGGGGCGGTTTTTGGACCGTTAAAAGTCGCTAGAGTAGGCATGAGCTATCAAGCGCAGGAAACGATACGTTAACGTTTGATATAACTAACGACAAACTGTCACTCACCAAAACTCCAGTGGTGTGCAATAACAGATAGCAAATACGGCAGGCAAAATTGGTGAAAATTGCACATCAATCTACACGAACAGAAATGTACA